ACAGAAGACATACAAATGGCCAAAAAGCACATGAAAAGATGCTCATTGTCAATGTCAAAACCACAATCAGGTATCACTTCACACCCACTAGGATGGCTATAATTGGTTTTTAAAGGAAAACTAGGCTGGATGTGGTGGCTCATGCCTGTAACCCCAGCATTTTGGGAGGTCAAGGCTGGTGGATCACTTGAGGCCAGGAGTTCAAGACCAGCCTGGCCGCATCTCTACAAAAAATTCAAAAAAAATTTAGTCAGGTGTGGTGGTGGGTGCCTATAGTTCCCAGATACTTGGGAGGTTGAGGCACGAGAATCACTTGAACCGGGAGGTGGAGGTTGTAGTGAGCTGAGATCACACTACTGCACTCCAGCCTGGGCGACAGAGCGAGACTCTGTCTCAAAAAATAAAAATACTGGGCCGGACGCGGTGGCTCACGCCTGTAATCCCAGCACTTTGGGAGGCCAAGGCGGGTGGATCACGAGGTCAAGAGATTGAGACCATCCTGGTCAACATGGTGAAACCCCGTCTCTACTAAAAATACAAAACATTAGCTGGGCATGGTGGCGCGTGCCTGTAATCCCAGCTACTCAGGAGGCTGAGGCAGGAGAATTGCCTGAACCCAGGAGGCGGAGGTTGCGGTGAGCCGAGATTGCGCCATTGCACTCCAGCCTGGGTAACAAGAGCGAAACTCCATCTCCAAAAATAAAAAATAATAAATAAATAAATAAAAATAAAAATAAAAATAAATAAATAAAAATTAGCCAGGCATGGTGACACAAACCTGTAGTTCCAGCTACTGGGTAGGCTGAAACAAGAGGATCGCTTGAGCCCAGGAGTTCAAGGTGACAGTGAACTATGAATGTACCACTGTACTCTCCAACCTGGTCACAAGTGAGAACCTGTGTCAAAAAAAAAAAAGGCCAAGCACAATAGCTCAAGTCTGTAATCCCAGCACTTTGGGAGGCTGAGGCAGGAGGATTGCATGAATCCAGGAGTTTGAGACCAGCCTGGGCAACATGGCAAAATCCCATCTCTACCAAAAAAAAAAAAAAAAAATTAAACCTAGAGTTACCATGTGGCCCAGCAATCTCACTCCTGAGAGTATACACCAAAAAGGAGTAGAGGGGGAAAAAAGAACAGGAAATAGTTATTCAAACAAAGCCACGTACAGGAATATGTTCATAGCAGCACTACTGACCTTAGCCACAGGGGGAAACAACCAAAATATCCATCAAACCATGAATGGATAAACAAAATGTGATATAGTCATACAATGGAATATTACTCAGCCATGAAAAGGAATGAAACACTGGTTCATATTACAACATGGATGAACCTTGAAAACATGCTAAGTGAAAGAAGCCAGACACAAAAGGTACATATTTTGAGATTCCATTATATGAAATGTCTAGAACACGCAAATCCACAGAGACAGAAAGCAGATCAATGATTGTCAGGGACTGAGGGAATGGGAATAAGGAATGACCGCCTAGTGAGCACAGAGTTTCCTTCTGGGGTGTTGAAAAGTTCTGGAACTAGATAGAGTTGATGGTTGTACAACATTGTGATTTTACAGAAGGCCACTGAAATATACACTTTAAAATGATTAATTTGGCTGGGCTCAGTGACTGTAATCCCAGGAGTTTGGGAGGCTGAAGTAGACAGGTTGCTTGAGCTCAGGAGTTCAAGACCAGTCTGGGCAACATGATGAAACCTTGTCTCTATAAAAAATACAAAAACTAGCCAGGCATGGCGGCATGTGCCTAAAGACCCAGCCTACTGGGGAGGCTGAGGTGGAAGGATCACTTGAGCCTGGGAGGCCAAAGCTGCAGTAAGCCAAGGTTGCACCACTGGACTCCAGCCTGGGTGCCAGGGTGAGACCCCGTCTCAAAAAATAAAATAAAATAGGTCAGGCACGATGGTGCATGCCTGTAATTCCAGCCAGGGCTTTGGGAAGCCGAGGTGGGCAGATGACCTGAGGTCAGGAGTTCAAGACCAGTCTGGTCAAAATGGAGAAACCCCGTCTCTGCTAAAACATACAACAATTAACTGGGCTTGGTGATGGATGCCTGTAATCCCAGCTACTCAGGAGGCTGAGGCAGGGAGAATTTCTTGAACCTGGGAGAGGGAGGTTGCAGTGGACCAAGGCATCACCACTGCACTCCAGCCTGCGCAACAGAGTGAGACTTCATCTCAAAAATAAAATAAAATAAAATAAAATAGTTAATTCTATATTACATGCAGTTTGTCTAAAACAATAATTTATCTTGTGTCGGGCTCACAGCCATGGAACTAGAGGCAGGGACCTGGAGTACGTGGGGAAGGCTGTGGCTGGGCACCCAACCTCACTTCTGGTACTATTTCTGGGGTTGCAATAGAAACTCACCTTTCTCGCAAAGGCTGCCCCCATAGCTGGGGAGGCAAAGGCAGACAAAGCCATTGACCTCATCAATACAGGTGCCTCCATTCTCACAGGGGCTGCAGAGGCAGTCATCGATGTCTGGCAGAGAGGGAAAGGGACTGAGTCAAAGGTCAGCCTCTCATTGGCTCTGAGCTCCCATAGGAAACTAGGCAGAAGATGGGATCATGATCCTACCATCCATCCTGGACCTGAGTGCAGCAGTGGCAGTCTGCACAGATGGCCCAATGACTTTGCAGGCAAGGGGGTGGAACCTCACACAATTAACATAAATTAGCATTAATGAGAGCAGATGCCACTGGGGCAGTTGAAAACCAGGATGTGCAGACTGACTCTAGAGAAGTGAAAGTTATACTCTCAAAAACAGGCTTATAGCTTTGCACAGTGGCAGTATCGTAGCCACTGAGGTTTATCCAAGGCACGATTATTGCTAATTGAAAACTTTTCCCAATACCCCACCACGACGGCTTGAAATATAGTCAGCATTGGCAATTTTTGACAGTCTCTACGGAGACTGATTTATAAAAAAAAAAAAAAAAAAGGCTTATAGAATGCTGAAGCTGGAGGCTCTTTTTGGCATTTGCAGACTTACACAGAGTTACAAAGCTGTTTGTGGTAAATCTAGATAGTCACTGAGCTCTTCTTCTACTGGTCCATTTGTGCTTGAGGCATGTATAGCACTGGGCAAATCACTTCCCCTCCTTGAAACTCAGCTTTTTTTTTTTTGAAAATGGTGAAAATAATGGGCTCCTACTCAAGGATGATTGTGAGTAGAGAAGCAATGGAAGAGCTCAATAAATTATATCATTTATATTTATTGCTATAATTCTGTAATCAATCATGTGATTGTGAAGGCTGTGAAGTCAAGATGATACATAGAGCTCAGGAAATTATGCCATTTATATTTGTTGTTGTAATGTCATAAAAAATTGGTAGTATTTCTTGTGTTGGACTTTGAAGCTAGTGCCCAACAGTTCTGGTGGCAGTGCTTATATCTCCCACCCACCCAGGTAAGGGTAGGATCCCCAAGGGGCCTTTGCAGGGAGGAGTCCCAGCCATATCATTCCTTTGTCTTTCCCTCCCCACCTCTGACTTGTAGTAATGGGAGACAGCATACCAGAGATGAAAGCTCAGCTGTTTGATTCAATTGGGTTGGCTAGCTGGGGCTGATTTGGCTGGATGCAAGGAGCAGGTTTGAGAATGGAGCATCTGAAGCCAACTTTTTGTGATCTCTGAATTCTGAGGGCATGGCTGCTAGGTAGAACCCAAGGCTCTGGAGTCAAACAAATCCAGATTCAGATCCTGAGTCTGAGGCACTCACCAATTTCACAGTTCTCCCCAGTGAAGCCCTGATCACAGCTACAGCCATACATGGTGCCATTGGCATTACACGTCCCTCCATGAAGACAAGGGTTGTTCTCACAGGGATCCAAGGGGGCTGCAGGATGGAGGGGGTAGTGTGGGCAAGAGTCAGGCCACAGGTCTTTTGCCTTCTTGGAATCAACACCCCAGGCCCCCAAATCCCTCTAATCAAATCCTCTCTATAGAATCCTCTCTATAACTTCCCCAACGAGGGGTCACCAACTCCCTCTCATATACCCCCTGTCAAGAGGAGTTTAATACTTCCAGAAACTGCCCCAAAGCATCTGTGGGCTTCTCTGCCTATAGCAAAGTCCTTCCTTAGACTGAACTAGAATCGGGCTCCCAGAGACCAGTGCTTCCTGAAGGACCTTGTAGAATGTTTTCTCCTTTATTTATTTATTAATTTTTCTAGACAGAGTCTCACTCTGTTACCCAGGCTGGAGTGCAGTGGCATGATCTTGGCTCACTGCAACCTCCACCTCCGGGGTTCAAACCATTCTCCTGCCCCAGCCTCCCGAGTAGCTGGGATCACAGGCACGCACCACCACACCCGGCTAATTTTTTGCATTTTTAGTTGAGATGGGGTTTCACTGTGTTGGCCTGGTCTCGAACTCCTGACCTTGTGATTTGCCCACCTCAGCCTCCCAAAGTGCTGGGATTAACAGGTGTGAGCCACCATGCCCGGCCAAACACGGGTTTAAGTGTCCTCCCTGACTTATCCCCCCTCCTTTGGGCACACCCTGCTCATCACTGTGCTATTCACAAATTGGGGCACAGGGGTGGGCAGAGGTTCTAGCCTGGGCGACAGAGTGAAAAAGAAAATCCTCATTCTGCCCCAGCCAAACCAGATCCCCTGTCAGGGCAGCATCTGACCATTCCACTGCACAGAGGAATTAAATTGTTTTAAATTAAATTAAATTTGAAAAAAGAGGCCATTGCTGGTGGCTTATGCCTGTAATCCCAGCACTTTGTGAGGCTAAGGCAAGTGGATCACCTGAGCTTAGGAGTTGGAGACCAGCCTGGCCAACATGGGGAAACCCCGTCTCTAATAAAAATACAAAAAAATTAGCTGGGCATGGTGGCGCATGCCTGTAATCCCAGCTACCTGGGAGGCTGAGGCTGGAGAATCTCTTGAACCCAGAAGGCGGAGGTTGTAGTCAGAGAAGATGTCGCCACTGACTCCAGCCTGGGAGCCTGGGTGACAGAGCAAGACTCCATCTCAAAAAAAAGAAAGAAAGAAAGAAAGAAAGGCTTAATTCTTGCACAGGGGCCGTGCTAATCTTCTCTGCATTGTTCTAATTTTAGCATATGTGCTGCTGAAGCGAGCTCTACTTTACTTTTTTTATTAGAACAATCGTTTCTTGTCTGTATCTCTCCCTAGAGCACTGGTGTTCCATATGGCAGCCACATATAGATATTCATGCTTAAATCCATTGAAGTGAAATAAAAGCAAAAATGTCGCCCCTCAGTTGTCCTAGCCACTTTTCGAGTTAACGTCGATAGAGAACACTTCCATCCTGGGAAAGTTCTAGAATGTTGTTCTAGGACGTCAGGTTTCAGAGGACAGGGGATTTGGTTTCACCACAGCGTCCGGAACAGAGCGGGCACTCACTCATGGCTTGCTAACGGAATGCAGGTAGCAGGTGGCCCTCCTGCAGTGGCTGAGGCTTGTCCCTGGGGTAGCCCCATGGATGGCAAAGTGGCTTGTGGATGTCAGGGCCTGTGGCTGGATGGTGGCCCTGCACGTGCGTGCACATGCACAGGGCTGCCAGGCGACGGGACGCATGAGCCCAGCCAGGTGCCCCGCGCTGCTGACACCTGCCCACAGACTGGCGGTGACTCAGTCGCTCGCTGGTACTGCACTTATTTTTGGCTTCATTAGCATTTCTGCCGCAAGCGGTGGGTGGGTAGGCGCCTGGGTCTCCCCGGCACTGCCCGCCAATCTCCATCCTGCTGCCACAGGCTTCATTGTGGAGCCCAGGATCCAGAAAAGTCCAAGACAGACCCACCCTCAGCCCAGCTGCAGCTCCACCCCGTTTCCTTAGTGTTCCTGTGTGGCTGCCCTCCCTCCTCTCTGACTGCCGCGTCTCTATTTCTCTAAGCATTGAGCTTCTTCCCCTCCAATCATCTTTCCAGGGTGGATCCCCACATAGGCTATCTCTTCTCTCCTCACCATCACCTTAAGATTAAATTTTTTTTGAGATGGAGCCTCGCTCTGTCACCCAGGCTGGAGGGTAGTGACGTGATCACAGCTCACTGCAGCCTTGACCTCCCAGGCTCAAGTGATCCTCGCGCCTCAGCATTCCTGAGCAGCTGGGACCACAGGTACACACGATGCCCGGCTAATTTTAAAATTTGTTTTGAAGAGACGGGGTCTCACTATGTTGCCCAGGCTGGTCTCCAACTCCTGGGCTCAAATGATCCTCCCGCCTCAGCCTCCTAAAGTGCTGGAATTACAGGCGTGAGCCATCCCACCCGGCCTCATGTACTTTTTTAGGCCAATGAACTTTTTTAGGCTGTTTCACAGCCAACTGGCTGAGACAGAAGCCCTGTTTTCTGGCCAGGTATGGTGGCTCACACCTGTAATCCCAGCACTTCAGGAGGCTGAGGTGGGTGGATCACTTGAGTCAGGAGCTTGAGACCAACCTGGTTAACATGGTGAAACCCCATCTCTACTAAAAATACAAACATTAGCCGGGCATGGTAGTGCATGCCTATAATCCCAGCTACTCAGGAGGCTGAGGCAGGAGAATCACTCAAATCTGGGAGGCGGAGGAAGTTGCAGTGGGCCGAGATCGTCACTGTACGCCAGTCTGGGCAACAGAGTGAGACTCTGTCTCAAAAAAAAAAAGAAGCTCTGTGTTCAGAAGGCCTGGATTCAAACCCCAGGATTGACACTCCTTAGCTGCGTGGCTGCACAAGGCACTTAACCTCTCTGTGTCTGTCTCCCTCTCTGCAGAGTGAGGATCACACTGGAGCTTTTCCCATAAGCACATTATAAGGATTAACCAGGATAACTCTGGTAAAGTGCTTTGAATAAGCCAAGCACACCAGCAATAACCCGTAAATGTCAGTCTTTATCAAAATAAGCGCCCCTGCCCCTGGGTCGGCCTGCCTCCTGGACATCAAAGAAAAAAAGATTTGCCAGATGCTACATACAGCTCATGTCTGTAGTCCCAAAATTTTGGGAGATCAAGGCGAGAAGATTGCTTGAGCCCCGGAGTTTGACACCAGCCTGGATAACATAGGGAGACCCCATCTCTACACACACCACACACACACACACACACAATTAGCTGGGTGTGGTGGTTGCATGCCTGTAGTCCAAGCTACTGGGGAGGCTGAAGTGGGAGGATAACTTGAACCTGGGTGCATCACTGCACTCCAGCCTGAGCAACAGAGCGAGATCCTGTCTGGAAAAAAAAAAAAAGAAAGAGAGAAAAGAAAATTAAAAAAAAAAAGATCCCAGCCAGGCACGGTGGCTCATGCCTGTAATCCCAACACTTTGGGAGGCCGAGGCGGGTGGATCACAAGGTCAGGAGATCGAGACCATCCTGGCTAACATGGTAAAACCCTGTCTC